GTTACTCGACAGAAAGATTTTTCATTTGGAAATGTATATTATTCATATTAATCATGTTGTATATATATATATATATTTTACAAACGCGAGACTGTATTTTTTTCATTAATTATATTTAATAATATATTTGTTATATTTTTTTATTCTGATAATTTATATTTTTTCTTTCTCATTTAAATTGATATTAAGAAAAATGTAATTGTTGTTTGTTTTATATTTATGTAATAATAGGAACAAATATGTGTATGTATTTTATTATTCAATACATTTTATTTTTATATTAGGGAAAGAGAAAAATATATTATTAATATTAATCGTATATATTTTGTATTTAGAACAATGAACACGAAATTGCGTTTATATTTTATATTTTCAATAGAAAAATGTATTATTAATATTAATCATTTAATCTAATTTATTTGGTAGTCATAATAAATATGCAAAATGTGTATATATTTTATTATTCAATGAATTTTATATTTTCAATATAGAAAATTATATATAATATATATTTAATATTCATAACAATTTAAAATGTACAATAACACGAACACGAAAATGCGTATATATTTTATTATTCAATGAATTTTATATTTTCAATATAGAAAATTATATATAATATATATTTAATATTCATAACAATTTAAAATGTACAATAACACGAACACGAAAATGCGTATATATTTTATTATTCAATCAATTTTATTTTCATATTAAATAAAGACAAAGATATTATTAATATTAATCATATATAATATAGATTTTATATTCATAACAATTTGAAATGTGTGGAATAGTTCCCTTATACGATTGAGTATCATTCTAAGAGAAAATTATTACAAAAAAAAACATATTTCATAATTTATTTAACAATTAAACTGATATTAAAAATAGAAAGTATACTCCTAATTTTATTAACGCGTATATATGTGTGTGATTTATTGAATTAATCAACACAATGATATTATATTATTTCATTTTACAATATTAATAAAAGTTTAATTTTCAGGAACCTGTGTTTTCTTACAGGCCCGACTGCAATCGACTTTTTCCCATGCCCTGTTTATTTTTTTTTCTTTTTTTCAGAATTTTTCTCCAGTTTTTATAAAAACGAATTATTTTTTCTTTGTTTTGTCAAACTCCGACGTAATTATAATATCTAACCCATGTTAGGTTGGTAACAGCTTATGCAAGTGCTCGGCCATATTCGAGGCGTGAAAATAAGGGTTTTGTTTTTTTTTTAGGGGAGTAAATTTATTTAAAACGTCAAACATGCCACCCAACATGAATTTTTCAAACGAGCACAGTGCTCGACAACTAAACGAGTCTGAAATCGAATGTTTTCATATTTCAAACTTGAATAACTTGAAAAAATATTCTTTATTTCATTTCTATAATCGATAAACCAATTTATAATATAGTATTGTACAAATCAAAGACTATAACTATCGCAAAAAGTTCAAACTAAATTCATTTTAAATGTAATTAATATTTTTCAGTATTTATCGAATTACTTTTGTTTCTTTTTTATTTCATTTCGTTTCACTTATTTTCATTTTTGTTCTAATTTAACTGTAATAAAACGCGTCGGATAAATGCAATGTCATACTTTCATCGAAAAACACACACACAGATACACACACACATACAAACACGCGTTCTTCGGCCACTCTCTCGTTCCGTGAAAGGTGTATTCGATCATTTAACTGAAAGGTAATCTCGAATAAGATCGAGAATTTCTTTTACACGAATGAAAATTATTTATTTTAATTTTTTCGATAATCTTGTTCAGAATTATAATATTAAAATATGTATCATAGGGAATTTGAACGGTTATTAAATTTTTATGAACGATTTATTTCAAACAAGTTTGAACGTTTCGTCCCTTTTTTAGGACTACATCGGCAACTAAAATTTTATTATGACTTGTTAATAAATATACAAAACATTAAAATAAATTAAACAATTGTTTATGTTCATAGAAAATATATATCAGCTTGAATAAATCAAGATTTGTATGCACTCGTTTGATACGCGTCATTCTGGTATTTCAAATTTAGCGGGCTTGGCGTCCTACTACGAGGCTAGCTGGTCACGTGACTTATTTCAAACATATCACAATGTGATTCCCCTAATAATTTCGATTAAATAACCGATAAATCAAAACAAATTTCATCTAAATAATAAATATTATTATTTGTTAAATAATAATAATAATAATAGTAAGTAAATAAATGTTATTTGTAATATGTTTTTATGTTAATTATTTGTAATATGTATTTATTCAAATGAGGTTATGATACAACAAAATTTCAGTTGCCGAAAAAGTCCCAATAAAGGAACTAAACTTTTAAAACAATTGTTTCAATCTGACCGATTTCTTCCTTGAGACATGTTTATTAATTATTTGTAACATTATTAAATATTCAATTAGTTATTATTATTTATACAAAAATAAAATTATTAATAAATAAGTATCATAGGGAAATTGGACATTAAAAAGAACTAGAACTTAGTTTTCATTAAATTTCCCTACGATACTTATTTATTATAATTATAAAATATTATTTCACAATCGTATAATAAAAAATATATCGTGTGTTTATTAAAAAAAAAAGAATTAACTAATTATAAGATAAAAATGTGATTAAATTTTACTTCCGTGTAATTAAAAAAAATATAATTAAACGTAAAAAGAATAACCATGAACCGAAAAGATAATAATTATATTTATGAACAGCATTATAACTATAGTTAATAATAATAATATTAATGATAGGATAAACGTAACAACGCCATAAAAAAAAAGTGTTCGTACACTAAATTCGTAGAAATTCAACTCGGTTTTATATTCTATCAAGAATAATACCGTTAACCATTTAAAATCGTTCATTCGAACAAAAGAATGAGAAAGATTTTTCAATCTGGCACAGTTTGAGGTTACAAAAACTAAACGAAAAGACCAAATAAAACAAAAACAAAATAAGAAATAACAAATTTACCATAAAAGGGAATTTTGATCATTTGAATTTTCCATTATTGGTAAAATCCAAAGAAACAATAATAATAATAATAATAAGATGACTATAAAAAGGCAAACTCGTGTTATCATGAGTATACTTATTCCTATTTCAATGTTCCATACAAAAAAAAAAGAAAGAACATATACACTTGAAATATTTCAAAGGAAAATAATAGAAATCGAAGAGTAAGAAGAAAAGTCAGCGGGGAAAAAGGAAAAACCGTTTGGAAAAGATTATTTTTCAATGATCACGCTCGAATAAATTCGAATACAACTTCTTCTTCTTCTTATTCTCAACGACTTGTAACACGATTGATTCTTGGTACTAGAAAGAGAACAAAAAAAACGAGGATACATCGACGCTTCAACGAATCTTAACGCGAAGAAAGGGAAACAAGGGTGGGGAGGTGGGGAGGAAGGGGGAAGGAAGGGAGCGGGGAAAGGAAGAAAAAAAAAAACAGAAAAGTATTTCATCGCACACGATAAAAACACATACACCTTTCTCTCAGGATGTTTTAACCTAACACTTCACGAAATATTTAATATAAACAAATATTTCTCAACTTATTTTTTTTTTTTTAAGCTTTTTTTCGTTATTCTCATTTTTTTCTGACGAGGGACAAAAACAATGGCGATCTTTTTAGGCAAAAAAAAAAATTAATTAAAGTTCATGCATTTTTCTTTTCCCCCGCCCCCCCCCCCATAATTAATATTACCAAGATAAATTTAATCCGAAAAAAAAAAACAATCCACCCCCAGCCCCCTCCGCCCCTATTTTATGAAGCTTATATATAAAACAATAAATATTTGTAATGTAATAAAAATTACTTACGGAACTTCATGATTCGAAGATAGCAGCTGGTTTTCACACGGTAAGTATGTCTCTTTTACAGTGATTCGTAAATGTATGTGTTTGTGTGTCTATGTATGAGTAAAATAAAATATAAAGAAGAAACGTTTATGGGAAAGTGAGTTGTTGTATCTGTCCGTTTGTTGGAAGAAGTAAAATCCTTCGAAAATCACACGAAAAATCCACCTAACCGGGTGTCCTTCCTATTTTTGTGCTTTTTTTTTTTATTTCCTTCAATCCTTCGTCGTTGAAACTTTTCACTTTATGATTTTTCTCTCTCTCTCTCTCTCTCTCTCTCTCTTTCTATAGCACCAGAAAGATTTTTCTATTTATCGATGATAGAAATATCGACGGGCAACGTTAACTTTAGAAAACTGACATAAAACAATAACACACTCAAACACTATATATTATACCAAGTGATTTTTCCCGCCGGTTAAACTTGACAAGATGGCGAACATAATAACAATGAACCAAGAACACGTTGGTTTTTATTTTTTCTTTCTTTTTCCCTCCCCCTTCCTCCTCTTCTTCTTCTTCTTTCAATATCTTCCTTCCTCAGGTTAAAAAAAAGAAAAACAAAATGTCTATTCTTACATATACCCAACTCCCTACAACAATTTTTCCATTTTTAATTTTATAAATTCTCGATAAATAATTCGATTATCGATCTACGTATATGTCGTAATGAATTTTAAATTTATATTACACGGGATAAATAAATTAATTAATTAATTGTACCACGGTGTGAATTAGTAAAAATCACGCGCGTTCAAAACAAAATGTTTTCTCTTTAAACTAAGTTAGAATGTGAATAACAAGAAATAGTGAAAGAAAGATACAGGAGCGTGTGATGAGAGGGGGGGGAGGGGAGGGGGAGGGGGCAAATAACGCGCTAAGATATGCGTGTATATTGAGAAAAGGAATGGTGGGGCCTGGAGTGGGGAGAGGGGGCCCAGTAGGATAACTCTACCTCGTGTAATCTCTTTTGCACGTTTGTGCGATTTCGAATGGAATATAAACAGGATTTAGGAAAGTAAATAAGTATAACAAGAGATAGAAAGAATAAAAGAAAGAAAGAAAGAGAAAGAAATATATAGCCACCGTTCGACGCGTCTAGAACCACACCTTGTCGGATACTGTATACAGGGTATACACGAATCGAGTTGAAAGGCCTCCCGGCAGCCTGGACTGGATCAGGACCGTAACCACGAATAACTGGTACCACCTGCTGCACATACTCCTGCCATTTTATTCTTATTGATCGATCCATCGATCCACCCATTACGTAGACTTGACTGAAGTTCTCTGCTAGTTACGGCTCATTCTTGACCTATTTTTATTATACCATCACAATCTAATCGAGTATGAATAAGAAGTTTAACTTGTAGAATTGAATTCAAATTATTTGAATATATCATCTCGATTTATATATTATTAAAAAAGAAATGAAATGATATTATTGATATTTGAAACTTATGTTTAATAGGTTAGGTATGGTTAATGATTTATACATGTTTCTAGAATTGATTATCGATCGAATTAATGATAAGTAATTGTATTTTATTGAACTATTCAATTGTTTTTAATGTAAATTAATACAAGTGTTAATTAAACGAATTTATTCTTGGGTATAAATACGTAAATATGTTTATTAATAATGGCTAACTTCAGGTGCTTGTACTTTCAAATTTAATTCGAAATTCCACCACTTGGTAGCGCTTTAGTATCACGTGACCTGATAATTGATCGATTACATCGAATTTCGATAATGTTTAAAATAATCTCAATTTAATTATAAAAGTGATTATAATAAAATTAAATAATCTTAATGAATAGTAAACACAAACTCACAAATATTATTATAACATTCGAATAATTAATTAAAAAATCTTATTAATTTTATATTTATCATTCGAATAAAAATTAATTGAATTTGTAACTATCTAACGAGAGATAGATTTCGATTGAAAAATTTAAACACACGAATAACAAATTTATATATAAACTTTACTAGAAAAGATAAGAAAAATAATAGATAAATAAAATAAAAAGTATAACAATAATAATAATAATAATAATAATAGAAATAAGCTATGGGATTAATGTTTGATATACGCACCTGTTCATATATACGCTTCTATAAAAGAAACAGTTTCCCTTTTACGAATCTCCGTTACGTTTTACGACGCCAATAGGAGAATGATGAGGAGAAGAAGAAGAAGAAGAAGAAGAGAGGGGATGTGGAAGGATAATAAAACAATGCGTAGAATGATTCAAGGTGATACGAAGAAAGAATTATCGAGAGACTATCAAGGTAATGTAAAAGTGTATTAAATATAATAACAAGAAAAAAATCAATGATTTAAATATAACTCGTGATTAATACTTGTCTGCATTATATATATATATATATATAAATTATTAATTATAAAAATATATAATAAATATAAACATTTAATATATATACAAAAAAAGAAAAGTTTTGAAAAATAATAAAAGTTAAGTTTTGAAATTGAAATCGATTAAGATCAATGAACAAATTTACATAACTAAATTGAATATCGTAATTAAATCGTTCGAAGAAAATAGCAAAAATGTACGGAGAACAAAATTCTTGTTTAAGTACCGTAAACGTTTGATTATCTTACCTTATATCGTTTTCACACGCTTCTATTCACTATTCATTATCCATCTAACATTCTATTCTACATTTGCCTTTCCTTTCTTAGTCACGTGACTCTTTACAATTTCACTCACGATTCTTCTCTTCTTTTACTCCCCCTACCTTCCTACTCATTCCTATTCTTATTCGTTTTACCTGTCTTCTTCTTCCTTCTTAGGTTTACACGTTAATGACCGCTATTCTAACGTAATCCATTCCACTCCCCCCCCTCCCATCCCCGAATCTTACGAAACAACTCGATTACATTCTTAACGTTTAAAATTTAATTTGAAAAAGGAACGTTAAAAAACACTTTGGAATAAGATAATATAATTATTCGTTTTTATTCGTATTAAAATTGTCATTTGATATTGTCCTAAATACTCTTTACGTATAGTTTCTCTGAAATATATTTTATTTAATTATTGTTTTAATATTTTCTTCCTTTATTCCATCGTTTATTAAATCATATGACATAATGAAAAAGAGATTGTGTCATAGTTTCATTAGACGTTATTTTTGTGTTATCGATATTCTCGAACAAAAATAGTATAATTAAATTAATAAACAGGTCAAACCTGTGAAAAAATGATCTATAAATTCAGCACTAAAAGGTTGGCATAGAATCGCAACAGCAGAAAAATTGAATAAGTACTCTTAATTGCACACTTTATCAATTAATTATTTAATTAGTTATTAATAATTAAAAAAATGAAAACGTTTCTTCTCATTCCTAAACAAATCAATAAAATTTTCTATTGTATTTTGTTTTCAATCAATTGCTCAATTTTTGTTTGTCCATTTTTCTCCAGTTTTTCTAGCTCCAATATAATATCGGTCTATTTTTTAATCTAGTAAGTTTTTTTTTCTTTACTTGTTCCAAGATAATCGTCCTTAACGAGTAAACTCCTCTTAAATTAATAATTAAAACAAAATATCTATATTAGATTTCTAATTGTTGTTTGTTTTCAAATGTTTTAAAATTTAATGAAATTCTAGTAACATTGCTAAGCACCATATCGGTAATAGCAGTGCTCTACCTTTATCTTTTCTATCGTCGGTAACAATAATTTTCTGCTTTAAAAATACCGACAGTCGGTAATTGCAGTTTTCTACTTTTACAACACCGACCGTCGGTAATAGTAGATTTCATTAAACGTTCGATAATACGACAAGTTTCCGGGAACGTTCTGCAGATGGCGTTAGTTGTATTCGTCCAGATGCACAGTCGATAATTTTTGGCGCTAATTTTAAATCGTATTAAATGTAAAAGAAAAGAAAAATTGACATATAATTTTTTATACGACGTTATCAATTTAAAATCGTTTCATACGATGAAAGATAATTTAAATCTCCATGCTGTATGTAATTTAATAATACAATAAATATAGAAAATACGGAATTTATGTCAATCGAAAAATCAGTAAATCATTGATTGCGTTGATCTAATCGCTTAGTAACATTTGCAAGATGCAAATGTAGAAGGAAATATAAAAGGTAAGACAAATGCCATAAATTCTATTTAATCAAACGTGAACAATTCGAACAAACAATTCAGACAGACACAGGCTGTCATCTGAAATTCAAGAATTTTCGCAACGATAGTAGAAACGATGGTAATCCGATAAATCAAATATTCAAAGAAAACAATAGAGAAGAAAAGCATAAAGAAAAAGAATAATCCTCGTTTGGCAATCAAGTTTGAACGTTTTGCTTTATTGGGTTCCCTCGATTGCCTCTGTACGACGACCGATCGAAATAAAAGAACCGAAACCCTGTCGCGTTTATTCTTTTCGATTGTTTTATTTCTTTCTTTTTACATTTAACGTTTCCTCTTCGACGTTAACAGCAACCAAACGTGGCAAACGACGGACTACCGAAACGATTTCTTCCTTTATCGCCCATTAACCTTTCAATTACCGTCCAATCTGTTTCCATCGAAATAATAACAACCGAATTGCAACGAGGAAAGAAACAAAAAAAGAAAAGAAGAAGAATATCATATCGTACAAACAAACGATTAACATTTTATATATATATATCACATCCGATTTAATAATAAAACAAATAAAAAATAATAAAAAAAAGTAACAAAAAACAAGAACAACGTGTGGTCTGTTCGAATCGATTTGATTGGTCGCAACATTTGAATTCGACGCGCTCTTTTGTTTTTTCTTTTCTTTTCCCGCGTATTTTAATCGAACGCGATTTCAAATGAAAATCAAAACAATCGAATCGAGAAGTGTGAAAGATAATCTTTAAGATTACAATTAATTATTATGGTAGTCACTGTTGTAAAATGTTGTGAAAGAAAGTGTGCGAGAGAGATAGAAATAGATCTGCGCGCGTAGAACGAGCCGTTTAAATACGCATGTGCAAATGCACGTTAGAAGTCGGTCCAGTTATCTACGCGATACAGCCTCGTACGGACGTACGAAGGAAAATTCTCATCTCGTTGTTAACGCGAGATTTGAGAGGGAAAGTGTAACAGAGATAGATAAATAGATAAATAGATAGAAAAGTTTTGGCGCGAAAAAATTTTGAAATCAAACCAAAAAATAATATTCCTTTAAATTCCCCCCCGGAAAAAAATTATTAAAAGAAATAACTTCAAAAAAAAGAAGAGGAAGAAAGGGATCATCATCTCAACGGTGGATCCAAAGAAGATTAATTTCCACGCACCGACAGCAACGTCAACAACTGATTTTTCAACAGTAACCGGCGATAAGTATAACAACGAAGCTGGCACTCTCCAATATGTCGCTGTTCGCGTGTTGTACACGTCCGGTAAGTATATTTGTTTATATTTATTTTTTTTTTTTCATAATTTATATTATTATTATATAATCACACCTTTTCGTTACACACACGACAGATATTTTATATGTAACAATTATAATTAGATTATTTATTTTTGTATTAATTATATAAAACATTTATTATAATATATATTATATTCTATAAGATATTTTATATAATAATATATATTATATATTATATTTATTAGAGTTATTTCTTTTTTATTAATTATATAGAATAATTCTTTTTTATGGGATAAGATAGGAATCCTATAAAGGTCAGAAGGGGGGAACTTTTGCATGAACGACCCTTTTATGGGTCGTTAGTAACGAAAAGGGTTATATAATTAATTGTATTTTTTTTATATTACACTTCTAATTACATTAAAACAAATGTTAAATACGATACTACAACGTAACACACTTCACAAGGATGAAAAAAGAATGAATAAAAACACAAGAATACTTACAAACTTTATCTTTACTTTCTTTTTAACAAACTTCAGGATATATGTTAACAGATGAAAGAACTTTAATTTTCCCTCTCTTTATTGTTCTTTTCATTCGTTGCTTTCTAACGTTTTTTTTTTTCTTGTTTCGTATTTCTTTTTTTTTTATTTCAATGTTAATCTCATTCATTTTCTTTTTTTTTTCTTTTCTAAATGGTAAAAGGATATCAGAAAAGATTGGCTTTGATTTGAATTTTATTCGATTTCTTACTTTTTTTCTTTTTTTTTTCTACTTTTTTCTACTTGTTTCAAGTTGTTTCCTCTTTTCCTAATTTCTTTTTTTTTCTTTTTCTCGATAAATAGTTCGAACTCGGCGCCGCGGATTTCATTTTGGCGAGGATATGGGATAAAATAGAAAGAGAGAGAGAGAAAAAAAAAATACCGGCATTGATCGATGCACGATATCGAGACAAGAGATAAAAAAAAAATAAATAAAAAAAAAAGAGAGAGAGAGGATGGTAATTCTCTTCCCCCCTTTCCGTCCCTCCCTCTCTCTCGCTCTCTCTCTCTCTCTTTTTCTCTCTCAGAATTTCCCATAACGGATGCCCGCAAAACGGATATTGCAAAACAAACAACTTTTCCGATTGTATTTTCGACAAAGCAAATTATTCAAACTTCGCGAGATCGTTGCTGTGTAAAAAGATCGAAAAAGAAGACAACAAAAAGCATCCCCCTCTGCACCCTTTATCCCCTTCAACCCCTGCAACTAAAGCAAAGAACAAACTTCGATGAAAAAAGAATATCAATTAAAAAGGTAGATTTCTTCGGTTCTTTTGACAAATTTTGCCGCTTCCTCGATTCGCGAATCTATTACTTTGAAAAGTACTTTTTTTTTGGTCTTCGTTACTTTTTCTATCGAGTGACCAAACCTTTCTTTTTTTTTTTT